TTTTATTGAAACGAAAAGATAGGTCTTAAATAGCTTTTGACCTTTGCTGCGTATATAGCGGATAAACTTTACTATCTTACATTAATTTCTAGTTTTCTAATTATAGATTCGAATTGGCGTAGTAGATACAAATCTGAACCTAGATACAAATTTGAACCTCTATATGAGCCTGATTTTTCCCGTACTTAGTACTAATAGATAAATAACACTAATAACATATCCATAACAATAGAAAATAATATAAATAATATCAAAAAAAGAAAATATGCGGCTTGTGACCACCAGGAAGCCGCTCACAACATACGTAAATACGGTGCAAGGGATATAAAAATTACGACTATCTTATAGAGGAAAAATATAATAAATACAATAAATACTGTATTCCCGTGTAACTTGATAATAATTGGTAGGTTACGCCAAGCAGATTAAAGTCAAATATTTCCTAAATTATTGATTCAACAAAGTATTTTGCATACACGTTTGTTTATTTTTGTTCTAGCAAAGTATAATTGATTTTTAGATTTCTTGACTGTACGATTAGGGATTAGAATAATTTATTCGGATAACGGGGTAAGTTAATCTAATCAGATGAAAATAATGCATAAACTGGTAGCACATTGAAATTATCAATCCCAATAAAGTGAAGGGTTCTATAATTCTCAATTTCTTTTTGCATAGAAAAATCATTCCAAGAATAATATGTACGTACGTTACTATTACGATTAAGATCTAACAAGCAATATGACTAATTATACTAACGATGAGTAATTCATACTTTATGGTCTGACTATGAATTTAGTTTCCGACCATAGAATCCAAAAGACGCCTTTCTATTGTCTCAATGGAGCTTTGCCTCGAACCATGAAATATATGTTTAAAAAAAATCGTAAATTCTTTATTTTATGTTCACAAAGTGATCATAAATAATTTTTATCTAATTAAAAAATTTTATTTGTGATCATTATTATTTTTAATATGAACATGAAAAAAAAAAGTATGTTCACAAAAATCGCCATATCGTCTTTTGAATTTCTGTACATAATAATACATAGCTATGCATGCTTAAAATAAGCCACTACTGAATTTAGTGTCTCCAATATGTTTGTTGATTTCCTGCACCAATATGTATGTACGTACGTACGTACAAGAAAATTAAACTCAAATATTTCCTAAATTGTACCCCTTGTTTATTGTGGTATAATTCGGCAATAAACTTATAAATGAAATTGAATTTATTGAATTTAACTTTATCCTCGAATAATTAATTTAAAATGATTTTCGAATCTAAATACCCAAAAATAAAAATTCCTCAAGAAGGAATTTATCAATATGTGACTAGTAATCCTAAAAAAATTCCTGATGATAAGGTTATTTATATAGATGGGATTACTGGTAAAAGTTATACTTACGTTGAATTTAAACATGAATCGAAAAAGTTTGCTGCAGGATTGCAAGATAAATTAGAATTCAAACATGGGGATGTCTTAGCGATATGTTCACCTAATCAGGTATTTATTAACTCTTTCATTAATTATGTTATAATTATGTTATTAATTCATATGTTTATTTTGTTAAGATTGATTACTCTATTGTACTCTTGGGAACGATCGCAGCCGGTATTAATATAATTTTCATGTGAATTAAATAATACTGTTAATATTTTTTCAACTCTAAATAATGTTTATGTATCTAATACTGTAATAGGCGGGAAAGTAACGACTGCTAATCCAAAATACAGAGCAACTGAATTATCATATCAACTAACTGACTCAGGTGCATCTGTTCTGATCGTGCATCCAGAATTTCTTGAAACTGCCATTGAAGCTTCAATTGAAGCAAAAATCCCCACATCCAGAGTATTATTGTTTGGTGATGAAGAAATAAAAGGGTACAAGCCTTATCACTCTGTTTTAATCGGTGATCGTGAAATTGAGCCGGTTTCTTATACTTCCGAAGAAGCAAGAACAACGACCGCTTATTTACTTTATAGTTCCGGTACAACTGGAAAGCAAAAAGGTGTCGAAATTACCCATACAAACATGAATGTTAGTTTAGCTCAACTTATCGGTATTAATTGTGACCTTGGGCCACACAGTATACTTATGGGAATTTTGGTAAGTTATATAAATGAGTTCCTTTTAAAGTATTTTAGATCGTTATTTAGGGTAATTCTTCATTATTACTATTATTGCTTTAAATATGGCCATTTTTCCACGCCTATGCATTATCTTGCATTCTTCATGGGACCTTTATTCATGTAAGTTTTTTAAATTTTAATACTCTTCATTACTATGATATAAATCTAATCTAAAAATTATACGTCAATATTATAGGGTGCTACTACGATCGTTCTTTCAAGCTTCAGTGTAGAAACATTTTGTAAAGCAATTCAAAAATATAGGATCAATTATATTCATGCTGTTCCACCAATTATCCTTAAACTTGTCAATGTCTCTGTAGTTCAAAATTTTGATATATCAAGTGTAAATATGATCATAAGTGCGGCAGCACCATTAAGTGCTGAATTAGAAAAAAAGTTTAATGAGAAGTTTAAAGTGCCGGTTTTGCAAGCTTATGGTAAGGATTTTTTTTTTTTTTTCAGATTATCTTAACTAACGTAATTCCTTTATTGATCCTCATTATAAACAGTCTTACTACATATAAATATTAAAATTTTTTTTCTTTTTATTATGGTTAATTGCTATTGCATGACATAATAAAGGCCTTACTGAAACGATTTCAGTATCGCATTATCCTGATACAAAGAACATAAATAATTCAGCTCCAGGTATTATGGTGTGATTATTGTATAACTATTAAATATTTCATGGTTTGCTAAAGTACCTTATTTTTAATAGGTTCTATTGGATTTCTTCTTCCGAATTTGAAAGCTAAAATATTGTCAGAGGATGGTGACGGTAACTATTTAATGCATATATAATACATATATAATATATTCCTAATTTAAATAAATGACTCTAAATTCAAATAAATTTATAAATTTATAAATTTATATTTTAGAATTGGGATATAATAAACCTGGAGAAATGTGGGTTCATGGACCAAATGTTACAAAAGTAAATAATGGCATAGCTATTTTTACTATAAAATTATGTAATTATTTAATTATTTAAGATTTTTAAATAGGGTTATCTCAATAATAAAGAAGCTACAAATGCTGTCTTTGACAAAGATGGATTTTTAAACACGGGAGATATTGCATCTATCGACGAACAAGGTATGCTAAATAAAAAATTTTATTTAATACTTTACTATGATCAGTTTATAAAATAAATCAATTATTTTATGGTATTTTTAAATGATAAAATAA